TTTTAAGCCTAAGGCTTAACAGTAATTCGACAGTCATCATAATTATCCTCGCCATGCAAGACTACAGTATATAGTACTGTACAGGTCTGGAAATCTTTGAAGGCATGTGCTACTTACTGTACTGTACTGCCACTGATCCACTATACCACTATATGTACAGTATACAGTACAGTACAGTACTATGTATTGCAGAGCTACGGTACGTACTACAGTACACAGTAAATGACCATGACCATGACATTTCCCAAACATGAACCAAATGCGTGAAGCATGCATGATGCATTCACATTGCTACTGTACAGAGTACAATTCAATATTATTATTATTAATAACGGTAATAACCTTGACCGTCAATCTGTCTACTGATTGTGCTATATTTGTAGCTGATTGTGCTATTTTTGTAACTGATTGTAATTTACAGTATTGTAAGCGACCAAGCCCAAGCTCGCAAGGTGTTTGATTGCGTGGCTAGCGGTCGTCGCTGCTGACAACAAAATCAGATGAGACTAGCGAATTTGAAGAGACTTTCCACTACTTTGGCAATTAAAGTGTAAAACAACAACAGCTGTAAAATTTCGAAATCCATCCGATGATAAAATCAAATGGAACGAATTTATAAAATTAGGACAAGGGCTGTCTTCTACTTATAATATTACTATGATACTTGTTTTCTGTCAATCAACAACATACGTACTTGTATGTAATTGCTTCACAAAATCTCAAGTACATTATTGCCCTGATTAACTTAACTTTTACTTTACCTAATAAAAAGTCACCGGTCTAAAACGATAAAGCATACTTCTTCGCTGTTTACCTGCAGTACTGTATACACGTGTCAGAAGTACTGACTGCTGGGTGATTTAGGGAAGCTTTTATCGCACAAATTTACGTTTACCAGTTTCTAATTTATGACCTCGTAAGATGGCAAAAATCGCCGAATTGCGCAGTGTACATCACTGTGTCATAAACAGTAGTATATACGTATATAGAATGTAAGCTGACGTTCTAACCTATTGGCAATAGCACTTATTTCTCGATAGTAAACAGTATTGCATCGAATTTTAAAACGATATTTCGATCAGAATTGATTGAATGTATAGCCAGATATGAATTGAAATTTGCAAATTACAGCCGGTACTGCTTATGTGATGAAAGACAGTAAAAATACAATGATCCAAAGATTCCTCGGTATGTGGCTCCATGTAAAGTTATAGTGACCGCCTGCTGTACTGCACTGTTCTGTAACTAACAAACTCTAAAATATTAAATTACTTATTTGGAATGTTACTCCTCCTGTGTATTAATATAATGTTTGTTAATTCGCTATTCCTTGTAATAGTAAGGAATGCTGTAGTAATAGCAGCAAGAGCTGCCTGCTGTTTCTAATAATATAAAATACTGATATAGTGTCACGGTGACGAACTTATGCGTAAATGACGATGATAACATGATGAGTCATTGCTCTTACTTTCCGTCGTTACACCTTCACATATGCCACATGTACAATGCATATTGTGCAGCATTTACAGTCTTATTTTTGGGCATAACATGATTGGCATTACGAGCTATCGAATCTAGAAGAGATGAATTTGCACAGCCTGGGATGTATGAATTTACGATTAAAATGGAATGATACTTACTACATTATGCAAAATAGCATGATAGACATTGAATCTTATCGAATTTTACTTTTTTCATTCATTTATGCAGTATAGGAATTCATTCCTCAAGGTTAAATCGATATAACCTGAAACAGATTTATCCTTACTATTCAAGAACACGTAATAACCAGAGAGTGTTGTAGTCTTGTAGATCTAACACATTTTTCTTTTAAGTATTTTAATATCATCTTTTAGTCATTGTTCGTTTTTAATAAAATGATTGGTCAAGTATGATTGTATAAGTAAGTGGACTTGATTCAGTCATATATTTATTTTGCTCTCGACAGCGCTACTCTTTATACCTTTACTATCGTCTTAGACTTTTCTATTTAACATTATTGCTTTCATTTAGAGTTTTAAGGTATACTGCAGCGATAGATACTTTAGTTTTATGACCGAGGATACGTTGATCATCATGCAACAATAACGCAGTAAATCGCTTGCGGCTCGCCCATGTTATCGACGACTATGAAATCTATCCATTATATTTAGTGACGTATAATATCTGCAGTCGATCAGGTTGCCAATAAAACATTAATGGTATGATAGCTGACCAGAATTATTATCTAGATCGCTAGCAAGGTAATCGGCAGTTAGACTAGTATCTTTAATTTATGATTACTATGAGATTATCAGAGAGTCGATGCAATGTAAATTATAAATTTTATTTCATTAATGAACACCTTTATCAAACCTATATATATATTAGAAAGGGTATCGACAGTTTACTATTGATAAGTTACTCACTTTTATGCACTATATACAAAAAAAATAAGGATTATAGTAGACCAAAGGACATAACAGTTTAACAATCACAGTGCATAAACATGCGGATATGGCATTTATTAGGTCTTAGATATAGTACAATATGCACTACCCTCGGTAAATATAAATTTCTTTTCGAAATATCATGATTGAAATCACAGTTACCTGGATTAAACTTCCATAATATATCAATCTCTGAACAGTGTCTGGTATACTAGCATGCAAGTAAATAGATTCCAATCATTTTATGCGTTCATTTTACAATTTATATAAATATTGATAGATAATGGATCAGACGATATGAATAAATATATCATTGGTTATGGATCTTGTCACAGAAACATACCATAATAACTTATCTTTCTTAAATAAATAATCTTATAAGGTTACAATTGTCCTACGTGCAAGAGAGATGATTCCTCAAGATATGATATGGACGAGGATAGTTTATATTATTCTAATTATCTGTTTATGCCGTAGTAATGAAGGAGTAAAATACAAGAAGATTGTAGTGTCAAAGATTTATTCGTAAACTGAGAATCCTACTAGGTGGTAACTTCCTTATATCCTACACTCGTCAACAAGGCATACATCTGATTATATAAGTAAGCGCAACAGCGCACCTACATGCAAGAGAAATGATTTCTAAAGATAAGATATGGATGAAGATTGTTTATTCTAATTATCCGATTATACGTGGCTATAAAGGAGTAAAATTGAAGAAGATAGCTAATAATCTTGTAAGGCTACAATCACCCTACAATCAATAGATAGTTACTAAAGATATGATATGGATGAGGAACGATTTATTTTATTCTAATTACATGATTATACCGTAATAATAAAGGAGTAACAGATTGTTTATTCTAATTATCCGATTATACGCGGTAATGAAGGAGTCAAAATTAAGAAGATAGCTAATAATCTTGTAAGGCTACAATTACCCTATAAGCAATAGATGGTTACTAAAGGTATGATATGGATGAGGAACGATTTATTTTATTCTAATTACATGATTATACCGTAATAATAAAGGGGTAACTTGAAGAAAATGGCTTAATCGCTGAAATGTAGTTTAAGCGTATATGCATTTAGATATATGGATAGCTACAGATATCGTATAAGAAATTGAAATTTTGGAACTGGTTATCTGTGGCTAGTAGAACCTTTATGAATATTCTTGTGCTACTCATCGTTATTACCGTATCCTCTTATCACTGCATGTTGTACCTGGTCCGCATACCAAAGATACATTAATACGAGCTATAATTTCGTACTATACATAGCAGTTAAAAACTTTAAAATCGAAAATTTCATATTATTCCATCTCCGGTTAACATCGGAAAAGTGCGCTCGCTCAAAAACGAAACCTCAGGAGTGTTGTACTGAGCTGTATTGTTACACCTGTTACACCGTACAGTACACTGAGTGTACAGTCCCGTAAATCACGGTGTACTGTACTGTACTGTACAGTACTATACAATAGGGTGGGCTACAGTACTGTACTGTAAATGATGCACTGTAAAACTTTGAATACTGTACAGTACAGTACTGTACAGTACACTGTACAGTACTTTAGGAAATGTCACGCATATACAGTATGTACTGGAAAGTCTTGCAGGTACTGGAAATGCATGCGTGTACTGGAAAGTCATTGCGCGTACTGGAAATGCATGCGTGCACTAAAGTACAGTACAGTACAGTACTGTACACTAAATGGTCAAGCTGTTCAGTGTACAGTACAGTTGTACAGTATTAAACATTACATTTCAACAATCCTGGTGTACTGTACTGTACAGTACCGTACCGTACAGTACAGTACAGAACTCGTGTCTTTGATAATCATTGATGGTCTCTTTATGGTCTGGTCTGGTCGTACTGTACTACAGTATCTCTGCGGTACTGTACAGCCGTACGGTACTGCTTTACAGTGTACAGTACAGTATAACTCAGAGTCAAGTACTGTACAGTACTGTACTTATGCCAAAATTGCGTATAAACTGAGGTAAAATGAGCAGACCACGCGTCGCGATGGTAACAGCTTGGATCATGTGATCCACGAAATCTTGACATCATTGCTGCTCCAATAGTAATTTTATATCATTACTGCTATTATTGGCGGCTTCTTCTGCTTACAGTACAATATTATGCAAAATGATGTATCTGCAGCAATAAATTGAAATTTTAGTAATACAGATTCTGCAATTTACAGCACAGTTGACATGGTAATCCCCGGTTATTTGACTGACCGTTACGTTACGAACTTACAATAACGGGATAAATTTGTACAGTACTGTACAGGAGTACTGTACAATCTACTGTAGTATACAGTGCATAGCTCAATCGTGAGTTGACAATGTACTGTACCGTACTGTACACAGCAGTACCTAGTCCAGTCCAGTAGAAAAGATCGTCTCATTTCTGTAACGTAACGTACTGTACAGGCACTACACTGCTGTATTGTACACAGTATAGTATACAGTACAGGACAGTAAAAAGGCGTTCAAAATTGCAAAACTCTGATCAAAGCGCCTACGAGAAGAAAAATATCCTAAAACAAGCACAGCGTCAAATATGGCTTTGAACAGCGCGATAGTTGGAGCGACGTTATCGTCTATATCTAAAACGAAGTGGATTGAAGTAGTGGTTGCACCAATTGCAGCTCGGGTAAGATAATGGGGTTGAATGATTCTGACTTCAAGTTCGATTTTGTAGTAAAATGAAAGCACTTACGGTAGATCAAGATTGAATCAAATTCAAACTACGATCAAAAGGGAACGCTCATAACAAGAACTGAGCTTACCAATTGACGTTCAACTACTGTCAATGTGTAAAGGAGTTGGTTTCAAATTGATACAGTATAGTCAAGTTGACTAAAATTTTCTTTTATGTGCTGCTCTAATTGAGATATAACGATGCCGTAGAGTTGATATGATCCGAGTTTAGTCATAAGATAAGATAAAACATTCTGCTATTTTACAACGGTTTGTGTGACATGCCTCCTTTGGTCGCCTTGGGCGATGATGGACGTTACAACGTATTTACGAGTATAGTTAATTATAGATAGGTTATCTGCAGACAATCGAACACACGATTAATTAATTAAAATTAAAAAAACTCTTAATAACGGTACGTAATAATTGTTATACAATTGGCATTTGAAATTCACCTTACTGATGCCAAAATAATAGAATGTTAGCCAACATCGTGATGTTGACCATTGTTTACATCGTCTAAACGTAAATCCATCGCTTTAAAGACTGGACTACTAATAATACTGTACGGTAAAACAATTTTCTACTCAATACTCTATACTTAGCGAGCACTACGATATTGGCTAGTAAAGCTCATGGATATTTTTCTTTTACCTATCTATGTCTTACCCTTCCTTTCTTTACTCTTCAATGTACAACGCTAACTGGATTGAGCTCTTAAATATTTTCTTTTATTTTTGCTAGGTGTCGCAACTTATTATTTTAAGTGAGAAAGCTGAACGTAGTAACATTGCTATACCTGATATGCTGGATGTTGTCAATTCCTTTGTAAGCACTTGCAAAAATCTCGAAGCAAATGCTGTAACTTCAATATCAACATCTGATGACTCTGTAAGTCAATTGAATTAGATCTCATATGGTTCACTAATTAATTGAACGTGATTGAATCAATTCCAGGCTTGCATTATTTGTATAGCAGAATTTACTGACACTTTAACTCCGACCTATTTTAATACTACTATATTAATAATTATTATTATCATTATTTACTTACTATAAAAACATATAGGAACTTAAAGCTGATATGAGAAATGCATGTGAAAAATTGAAAACAATTGAGCAGAATTTACTTAATGCTGCTCATACACTTGTACGTGATCCTCATTCTCAATCCGGTTTAGCCAACTTAGTCACTAACTTTCGTGAACTCTTGGAAAGTGTTATCAAAGTAAGGCTACCAACTAAATTTTAGACTGATATTAATAAATGATCTTATCGTAACTTTCTACTGTATAAATGTCAGTGTATGTGTATGTGTTTTTTGTCAATATTTCATTTGTTGTTATAGCTTATTATTTTGTACATAACGTGCGTTTCCAATTAATTATATTATCCAATGCCCTTATGGTTTATTTCTATCCCTTTCTCAAGGTGTTAGTTACAACAGATGCTAGCAAAATACGTCAAATTGTATTTGCTGCCAATCAGTTAATGAACTACGTAACGTTAGTTGAAGAGTGCGATACAATGCAAAAGTTAACCAAAGCTTTGGTTGTAAGTTTAATTTAATGATTATTACGGATAAAAATGATTATAATCTCTATCAAAGAGACTATGAAAGTGTAATACTTCAACTAACATGATTGTATTGCTTTCTAATTAGGATTTCACTACTATAGTGAGATTGCTGCTGGATCTTGTCAACAAGCGGCAAAAAGTATGTTCCATATGTATTAAGAATTAAATTAAATTAATTATTTTGGAAGCCCTTTCTTTGTATATTGTGTAACCATAAATTTAAAGCGTAGAAAATTAGCTGTTAAATTGTTTACACTTATTATATAGAAGTGGAGCGATCGATTAATTTATATAAAATACTGCATATTAATGATAGTACAGTAGCATATGAAGGATGTAAGGTTTTTATTGGCTTTTTTGATATAGGAATTGATTAATAAAACTTGTCGTGAAACGCTAGTCAGATCGCTAAAAACAATGCAAGAAAATGCAGTAATCTTATCGCGCTTAATGCAGTCGCAAATTGCTTCTGGATTGAATGAAGAAGGAAAGGTCGATTCATAGCTTTAATTGATTAATACCATACTAGAAGTTGCTGTACGCAAGAATAGTATATGTTTCATAGCTTTGATTGTGATAGGAATGATAAACTTAGTATAAAATGTATCGATCGTTGTTGAATAGCGAAATATAAATATTTAAAAGACATGAAATTTAATATTAATTCTATGCTACACTCCTCATCTTTTAGACGAATAAAGAATATGCTGCTGGTCAAATTCGTGTTGCATCTGCAGATATAATACGAACTGTACAACGCCGCCAAGATGGACCATCACCTGATGACGATGAGTCGGGAGAATTTATATTTTGCCTAGATAAGGTAACAAATAATCCTATAACTAAATTATGATTAAATAGCAACATAATGATAAACGAATTCGAAATACCATGATAGATTCGGCAGTTACTGACTGATGCCTTCAGTCCATCAACAAGAAGTATTAATGGTGAGCTTGATCTATATGTATCGTGCATTATTCGTGCAAGCATGAAAGTCGCTCGTTTGAGTCGTGAAAAGAGAAGGGATGATATTGTAGAACAAGCTGAAAAAGTATGTTGATATTAATTTGCGTACATTAGCTTTTTGTATTATACATATTCTAATTTTAGCATGATTTTCGTATGATGTTAGGTTCTCCACGTTCGCAATGAGCTAAACGATAATGGTACTGCTGCTGATAGGTAGTTATTCTAGTAATGATTCAGTAAATGTTTCTTCATAATTGTACTTGGGAAATATATTAATTGCTCTATAAATATCTTGTAAAGAGGGTTATTCGATATGCGTAGTGAAAGACTGTTGATGGAACTGCATGACCTCATGATAACAGTAAAAGAAGTTACAACTTATCATATTGTTGACACCTTAGCCGATACAAATTCATCAATTGAGTTGCTACTGTACGATAGAAGATCTGGTATACCGGTAAGAATCGTATGTTTCTTGAATATTGCATTTAATTTTATTATCTAGTGATAATCGATTATCATTGATTGTAATAAAAATTTAATAGTGGATGTGCTGTAAGAAATGTGCAATCATATATAGATATCTTTTAAAATTAGAGCAACTACACTGTAACAAAGAACGAGAATAACTTTCAAAACATTGCTGAAAGAATACTTGAAGTAGCTAACTGTGCTTCATTTTTTGGCGATTCTATTTGTAAGTTTTGAATTGTCAAGATTACATTTGCGCACAAATCATCATCATGAATAAATGTGGCGCCCTGTAAAGGTATCTAATCCATTTATTTTACTGCATATGATGCATTGTAACAATAGGCGTGCAGCGAATTCGCGTAGCAGCTAAAGCTTTAGAAAAGTTAACTAGAGATGTATTAACAACTTCTCGGATGCTGCGTGTGAATCCTAGTGATAAAAGGCTTTATACTCAACTAGAAAATGTCTGTAACAATTGGATGGAAAGGTTAACACAGATGGTCACCGCTGTAGATAAAATAGTCGATGTTATAAAATTTCTAAAAATTTCAGGTAAATCATTACTGTTACTATTATGTATGCTAAACAAGTAATTTTTGTGAAATAATAATTTCTAATGTTACCAGTGATTGTATCAACATTGCAGAAGTAGAGATTTATAGTAACATTAGACAATGTCAAGATGGTTTACGAAGTCAAGAAAAGGATATTGTAGCGAAGTATGCTAACCATGCCGGAAAGTGTTTAGAAAGAGCTATGGACTTAGTTCGTAGCGTAGAGCTACCTGATTTGGATAACCGCTACTATCAAAAAGTAGAAAATATTGGAGCAGAAATTGAATCGAGTGAGTAATTATTGCTTTCTATATAGCTAATTACTGCATCCTGCGTTTCCGATCTTTTATCATTTTATTTTTATCATTCTAAATTTTACAAAATCAATCTCCTTTAATATTGAACTTTTCAGTTATACCGCAACTTAAGATCACCTTAACTGCAGTCATAAGTGATATCAAAGATTATGACCGGCAACAACAATTTCTGGATATAACCAATAGAATATTAGAAACTATGAGAGAACTATGTGCAATTTTTATACCTCAATTTGCGGGTACATAATACATGTATTTATATATGTACAATTGCATTAATTAGAACTTGCTCTTGGCACTTTTAGCGTGCGTACTCAATAGTATTCCAATGGCTTATGCTTCCCTTATAGGCAGCAATCAAGAAGACAGTTCACGAAGAGACAGAGCTCCTTCCAATTACACTGATGACTCCCCAAGGCGGTTACCTGATCGAAATTTGGTTTCATCACAACTACCAAGTCAGTTGATGTAGTATTATAAGAAGACATTAAGGAATTATAGAGTCACTATATTCAATACGCTTCTTAGAGTTGTTTATGGTACTATATATAACTATTATAACATTAGATAGCGAAGTAAACGCTCGCGGTCCTCCAAGCCGATACCATACCAGAAATATCTCAAATCAGCCTACCTCACGCTTGAGTCCATCGTTTGGACATTCGAACATGGCGAAGCCCAGAAGTACCAACGACCAAGATCTTTATGATGACAGAAGCAAGGATGATTCCAAAAGTATTTCTTCACAGAATGAAACTATTGAATACGATTATCTTTATAAAAATATCATCTCCGAGATAGGTACGCAAAACAGTTAATAATTGTAATGGTTACTTCTACAGTGTAATCTGAATAGTAATATAAATCTGTTCCATGATAACGTTTGATTTTGCTATAGGCGATGCGGATGAAGTTATGGCTTCAGCAGCACCAAAAGTATTTGCTTCTCCAATATCACGTTTAGTGGATGCATCGGTCAATGGTGAAGATATTTCTGGAATTTGTTCGCTAATTTCTGATGCTAGCAAGAAATTGTCAGATCTAGCTCAAATAACTTCCGATCGCTCAACTAGCAAAGATAAAAGGCATGATTATTTCTTAGAATTTAGTAATTGCTACCTCCATAAACTACGTAGTTATCTTGCAAACCGTCTGTTTTCCCCAATATATTTTAATTTAAATCCTTTAAATGCGTTTCAATTAATATAGTCTGGTTATTCAGACGATTATGGAATTGCGGAAGCTAGCTCCTCAGGTTATTAGTGCAGCGCAGTTAGCAGTTGTTAATAGAAACAGAAGAGAAATTACTGATCAACTTCGTGTCCGGGGCCAGGATTGGTCCTTCAAAATGCAAGTATTAGCTGCGGATGTTGATAAATTCATTGACGGATGGTCTACACCAGCAACTCGTGTTGCTGCTACTGCTCATCTAGGAAATGCTGAAGTTCTTAACAATCATGTTAGTTTCAGATTTATATTAACGCTTAACAGATTGTAATCTTAACTTAATTTTGTAATAGTTGCCATAAATAACCTATTATGAACCTTTTCTAGATTGATGCCTTCCATACATACGTCATGAAATTGCAGCAAATTGCTGTTTCAACTATCACTGCTGCTGAGGAGGAACTTAGTTTAACATTTGGTAGCTCGTTTGATCTCGAAGTAGACCATCATTCACAATTGTTAAAAAAGCATATTATATTAATAAGACAACATATCGACAGCGTTAACTCCACAATGAAATTGCTGATCTCAACCGCTAAAACATTGCATTTACACTTATCAGGTATAATTATGAAATTTATTGCAGCGGTGTCCAGTTTATGTTGGTCCTACGAAATAAATTTTTTCTTTCTTCAGAAAATTCGATGCCAGAAAGTTTCCTAATTCAATTGGAGATATTACGTCGTGAGTGGGGGGTAGAAGTTAAATCGTTGATGGAAGCATTTGATGGTATCATAAAAGGAACCGTAGCACCAGTAGAGGCATTGATTTCTGCAGCTCAACTCGGCGATAGACGAGCTGTGCACGAAAGAGCGAAAACCCTCAATACTTACCGTAATGTATTAAAAGAAATAAGCACAACGTCAATTTCTAGGTACTACTGTAGAAAAAGTATTATTATTATCGATCCTTTTGATTTTCTTTACGGTAGAGTGCTTAGCTTTTTTTAAATAATGCGTAATTCTGTAGTTGTGATGAAGTTAAGAAAATTGAAAGTTTTCGTTCAAACATGCAAGCAATTGAACGTTTAACCCATGAAATAATGGATCTAGCCTGGATTGCGGTTGAAACTTCTGGATCTCAAAAGACTAGTCGAGAAGGCTCAGCGCATCAAGCTTCGTCAGAAAGATTGACCTTATTACAACGAGAGTGGGCATCAAAAGTATGTTATATTTAAATTTCGACTTTATTTACAGTATCTATATTCTAAGCTTTAACAGCAGATTACATATTTTTATCCATTGATTCTATATTTTTATGTTTTATTACTAATATCAACTAATGTCTGATCTGATTTCTGCAAAAAATGCAGGTTCATCTACTTTCAGCTGTTGTTGATGATCTCACTGCAGATGTTTCTTCACCTGTCGACAATTTAGCTGGAGCTGCACTTGCAATAAGTAAATCTTATGGTGGCAATCATGGTATGCAGCTTTTGCAGTCATTTCAGGTTCAGGCTGACACATTAACTGCTCGTGTAGCTAGAGTAAAAAAGTATGCCAATGCGGCTGTTGCTAATTCGAAGAAGGAAGAGCAAGTAAAGTTAATTCATGTTACCAGCAATTCAGTTGAAAAACTTACACCAAAGGTGATAAGTGCTGCTAGAGGATTGGCAGGTAAACATATTATGCAAAAAGCTTTACACATTAAGGTGGGTTACGCTAACTATAAAAAAATTCCTATTAATTAAAATTTATCTTCATAGAAAATCCTGATCAGCTGAGTGTAGAGTGGTTCCAACTTGTTAGGCGTCAATGGGCATCAAAAGCTTGCTTGTTAATACATAAGCTTGATCGAATTGAAGATGTAAATTTTGCTGCTGTATCATGTACGTGAAAGTAAAAACTATTTTTGCCGTGTGCAAATTCGATATGAAAGCAACTTTGACTAATATAACGCCGTTTCTTACGATCTTTTGTAAACTGTACAGCCACAGTTCAAGAGCTCTTCGGTCTAAAATATGATATGAATGCGCAACAAGGACCACCAAGAGCAAGTGCGAATACTATCCAAGCTCCTCTACCAACGTATCCACAACAAACTCTTCCTATGGCTAGAAGTTCTAATATCGTTACAGAAACGAACGAGCCATACAGTCGATTAAGTGATTTAAAGCCATCTTCAGTAGCGTTATCGCAACCGAATTTGGCTACCACATCCTATACGACCAACCGACCAGAAAGACCATACTCAGCAATGTCACAAAAGTAATTATCGAATATGAACTATTGTACCCTTTAGTATAAAGTTTTATGAATTTCTGTAAATAAAGATTACATACTGCGTAAGGTTTTCTTAATACCGTAAGTTTTATCATAATTAAAAAGAATTCTGTGTTTCATTATAGCTATGATCAACCGTACAATAAGCCCCAGTCAGCCTTCTCACCAAATCCTAATACGATCTTTAATACATATACTAGTAACGTGGTCTTTAATCCCCATCAGCAGGCTGCAGGTGTTAGTGTACTAAATTCTGCAAGAAATTTAATGAGTGATCAACCTCCTTTGCAATCAGTGTTTAATCGTTCAGAACATCAGTCAGTAAATAGCAATTACGATAACTCTCTTCTAAACAATGGAATGAACACAGCAACAGCTACCTTTTCATCTGTCAATCCTAAACAGAGATTAGAGTCACAAGCTACAGATTCTGTCCATATTGGTATTACGTCAACATCTATCTATCCGTCATCTAATGTTAATTCTATGACCGATTCAAGCAATGCCAATGCTGAAGCTCAACGTTTGGATACAGCCAGTGTAGGTTCTTCCAACAATACCAAGCCGACCATCCCTTCCACCCAATTCCGTCAGCCTGAAAATATCGGCGGATACTTGTCGTCATTAAGGAATCTTTCTAAAGGAACGTCAGATAGTTCCAACGACTATTTCACTAGTAAAATTTCGCAGTTACCCTCTGATACGCTTGGTGAAGACGATAAAAATGTGCTAACGACGAAATTGCAAGCAAGTACTCAATTGGAACCAATGGGGTCGTCAAAAATAGATACCGAGCGTAATAATTTTGGCAAGGCTAGTGATTCAAAAAGATTCTCTGAATTGAAGGTTAAGGGATACATGCATGCGATTAATGATACGTCTACAAAGGCGACAGATAATACCAGGTTATCATCAAACGTAAGACAGGAGCCTCCAGAAAGCTTTTTAAATAATAAGGGCGTCAAGAAATCTGTTAACCTTAATAGCTCTGATCACGTCAGCGATGGTAAAGTTAAAAATTTCCCTGCCAGATCAGTTGTTGTAAGTGATGACAGTCTATAGGCGCAATACCGTATAATTTGCTATTTTTAATCGATAAATTAAAATAAGTAAATAAATATTATTACAGAATGTACTTGAGCTTCACGTAGTTTTAATGCATTGTTATCGCTAAAAAACCAAGCTACAACCAGAAATGCGCAGCAAAACATGCGTTTTGCTGAGTTTTACAAAACACTTCCTTCATAAACTACTTGCAGTATGTTGGCTAAAAAAGAATTCTATAAGTTTATATCGATGTGTAACCATTTTGCTCTCTTGTACACTATTTTCATGTTATTATGTTATTTATATTCAAACAATATTTCTTTTGCCATTACCTTTGAAATAAAAGGATACTGTATATGTATTACGTGTAATATAGTTCTAGATGGTAGGGATTTATCTTTGCTGTAATATGTCAACTTTTCTTAGAACAATCGAATAAAGTTAACATTTGAAATGCAGGAGGATATCAATGTTTGGGAAGAAGACGGAAATTTTGTTATCAGAGCCGCAAAAGAAATGGCTAATCGAGTAGATCAGCTGACAAGTATTGCAGAAAGGCCATCTAGTACAGTATCAGCACATACCATGGCTGTTTCAGCTAAAAATATTGCTGAAAATGCTGTACTCATTGGCAAATTTATGCAACATATGTCAAATATTTGCACTGACAAGGGGTATGTAACAGTATTTGTCATGTAGCCCTCATAATTTGCTCATTGCAGCGATAACTGGCTTATGCTTTTATATAGAATGCTGTAGATTTCCTGACATTGCGGTTTACCTATATTAATAAATCTTCTCATAACTTTAGCAACCAAGAGGAGTTACGTTTATGTGCGGATCAAATTCAGACGATTAGTATGCAATTAAAGATGCTGTGCACTGTTAATGAAAACTTAAGTCACTCATTATCGGTATGCTACTTAATCAATATGGGTGAATAATAACTTGCTGCTGTTGGTAACTACGTGAGGACTCGATACTATACCAAATAAATTAATCCGTTTTAATTTACTTTCAGAATGATCACCCTTTAATTGAAAATTCCAAAAATTTAAATTATGTTGTTATGAAAGGATTAAAAGTCACAGAAGCTGCGTGCCTTAAGGTATATCTGTAATGAAGGCATTACGCATAAGTACATGCTTAATTTGTGAATTTTTAAAGTTACTGTAAGGGAATATATAGACTAAATACTGTATGTTTCTTAAAGTCATAATCTGCAAAGTTCTCTGATCGATCAACGGTCGATAGAAGTTTCCTAGTAAGGTTCACGCATACTTTAAGATATAGTGGAGTGGAAGAGTTATTAAAACCGTTTTACAATTCGCGCGAGGTATACTCGTGTTCTCTTCAAAATTGATATTTATTTGGCCTTTACTATGTACGGATGCTTAGATTGATTTAGATGCGAATGCCAGTCCTGATGACCCCGTAATTAGATTAGCTATGGATTGGCGAAAGAAGCTTTGTTCACAAAGAAACGAGGAGGCTATGTCGGCTCAAACTGGAGCATTCGGCTTGCGAAGAGTTAGTAGATCGGTATCACCAGATCCTACTTTGACCGATTTAGTAAGATAATCAGTTATCCGATTACGAATTTTCATCCCCATTCAAGAAGTAGTCTCGTACCGATATTCATCTGCTTAATTAATGGAGGTATACGATATATTTTTTCTAGTCTATTTCAAATTAGTGTAAAATTTAGACTAATATATTATTATCAGCTATCGAATCCGTATTGAATTACGCGTTGTCCTTAAACTCCTTTAAATCTTATATTATATCCAGTATACAATTGTAGCTCTATAATGATGTATTGTATTTCCAATATTAAGATCTTATCAAATTAGCTGATATTTGATTAATTAATATTTTATAGAAGAAATTTTTTGAGTTCGTAAACGCGATTTTTTTACAGTTTTTCGATGATAGTCCGTGATGACCATTCTTTGTCTTTGGGCTAGCTGTACTTAAATTTGTAAATTTAATGTAATTGAGTTAGCTGTTTTATTATCTTGAAAGTTCGCTATATTTTCATTCTCATTCTTATTATTTATATGCATGTCATTATGAAAGCAATTTTCAATTCTATCTAGATCCAGTTATCTGAATGTACTAGTGGCTTATTGACATATGTGTTACTGCGCTGCAGTTTTCTATGTAGTACTGACAGTGAATATAACACGTAGATCGCAAATGTACAGTATTCATTACTTGGTCTTCGAAAATGCCTTAGTGTAAAGTAGCGATAGTATTACTAATGTTATTCTTCAGCTAGAGGTGGGACAGCATAAATCTAAAACGTTACTTAGCATTGTATTGATCCACAAGTAGTTGCAATATGCTGGAGCAAGGAATAAAAACTTGTTAAGTGTACAGATTAACGTAAAGTTATTTATTGCGCTTACCAGTAATACACCTAATGGGTACTGTCATGTTCTACGGTGCTATTGGCTTTTAATACTGTATTTCTTCTCATAAGATGACATGTAGTTAGAAATAAATGTAAGTACAGAAAAACCAAAGTAAGTGGGAAATGATTGAGCTAACAGCATGTCATTACTGATCCATAATAAGAAATTGATGATTCGCAGAAGTTCTGAGCTTGGATCACTATTGCAACATGAGCCGTTTGAATACTTGTATATCTCATAATTGCGATCACTATTTCCTTGAAGTAACCTATTCTGACGGAAATTTGACAAAAACTTTAAGATAGTACCTTGAATGTAGCGAGATGTGTAAATAGCTCCATATTCTATTTACTGGTGTGCTATCCTAAGCTACAAATCATCCGTTATGATGAGAATATGATTTTACTCTACTGACAGGTTTGAAGTCTTATTGCTGATAAGGAAATATTTACTGCAAATTCAATTTTTAAAATTTTAAAATTTGAATAGTATAAAGCCCAGCAAAACTGACGATTCGCGAGTAGCAGGCAAGCTGATTTCCTTGTGTTATGTATATATATATATACAGTACAGTAGTAAGGTTAGCCGTTCAGATTAGTAAAACTATTTACGATATTGTTTCGCATCAACTTTGCATGCAGTAGATATAGTTTTCAGTTTCATTGTATAATAAGTATTTGTAAATTTTTCGAAAGAGAAATAGCCAGGGCTATCATCTGATTAGGGTTGTTGCGTCGTGAAGTGCAGCAAAATGGGATAAGCTCTATAAAGCCTTGATGCAGAGTGCCAGTATAAGTTATTGCTGAAGTAATACAGTAGTTTGGAAGTATACAACCAAGACAAATGAAGGCTAATTTGGATAGAACTAGTATAAACTCCCGTCACTATGCTGACGGATTATGCTGTTATAATATTACAAACTCCCGTCGCTTTGCTGACGGATTATGCTCTTATAATATTATACTTCTAGAATATTATTTTACAATAATACTTCAAAGGTGACTCGATTTTGCATCACTATGCTGACGGATTATGTTCTATATACGTTAACGTTACAAAATATATTACAGTTACTATTCAGGAATTTGATTTTATCAAATTTTATCAACATTCATTCACGTTAAAAATGATGATTTGAACAGTAAATGCATTGCATGAAGGCAATAAGGGTAATGAGCCGTTTATTAATATCCATTCACGTTAAAAGTAATTCTTTCTTAGCGCGGTAAACCGAAATTGACATCTGGAGCTATACAGTACAGTATTCTCTACCCGCATAACAGTCCATGCTAACTAGAAAACAATCATTAAAATTCCTGTTATCATTGGATATTGGATAAAACATTAGAAAGTCGACATGATTTGTGATATTGTGTTATATCCAATGTATTATCAGCGTTATAGGAGTAGTGGCTCCTTTACTAAACGCTCGATTAGCCTAATTGAGGAGAGATTGCCATTCTAATGAAGCACAAGAAAGGGATTGACAGCAACTACTACAGTACAGTATAAAATCCAGGTAGAATAGTGTCGTAATGCATATTTGAATATCAAGGACAATTCTAGAATCAATTACGTCTAATTTATGGGACAAGACTATGACGGAAGAGACAAGAAATTAAAAAAAACAAAATCAACTAGACTGAATTGACCGGTTTTATATAGCCACTATTCCATTTTACAGCACTCTGCCTTATGGACTACTAAAAAAAGCTCATGGTATAACTTCTGATAGCATTCTACCATAAACTACTAGATACATCTTTGACGTTCTACAACTGCTTTTGAGCAGAACTTGGTAAAATAGAATAGATTTCAATGTTATATTACTTAATTTAGTAGAAAAAAAATAAGCGAATGACAGCATCGCGAGCATCCGCTTCAAAACATTTTAGCGAAACGAAGTGTTTAGAACAGGATGAAACCGAAGTGTCCGACCGTCTGAGTTCAGTGCACCGGTCCGGAAGTACAGTAGTCCACGACTATACAGTACGCTGTACTGTACAATGTACAGTACTACATACTGTATTTTACCTGGCCAGTATTGTACTGTCTTGTCCTGTATTACCTTACTAGGTTACTGTACACTATGGCTTACACGTGCAATCTATAGTAATTTGACCATCGAAATACAGACGGACAGAAGTTGTGCTCTGGTTCTGCTGACTTTCAGTACAGTACTGGACAGGACTAGTACTGTATACACTAAAGTAGAGCAGCATTTCTAATACTGTACAGTATTGTACCGCTACTACGGTAACAGCACTTATAGTGCGGTAGAGCGCCAGGCGTCCTTCAGTCTTGAAATCTCTCAAGCCGACAACGGCGGATTCATTTTGAAGCACAGCAAAATGGACGACGGTAAGTCCAATTTTTTCTTTGCTTTTAATATCAGCTAGGACAAGTGATGATCTTCATGGAAATGATGTAATTTGATTCATGTTTATGGAACTTATAATGATTGTTAATTCATGTATTGAACAGTTGACAGTTACGATCTAACCGATCAGCCGATCGATGATGATGAAATTGAGACAGATCTATGGCAAGAAGCCTGTTGGGTGGTTATCAATGCTTATTTTAATGAAAAAGGTTTAGTCCGTCAGCAGTTAGACTCTTTCGATGAATTTATCCAGATGTCAGTGCAAAGGATTGTGGAAGATTCACCACAGATCGATATACAAGGAGAGACCCAACATCATTCTTCGGAGGAACAACAATCGGTAAGCAGATCGGTTATGCGCTCCTCATTCAGCATGGCCAACAGTGACAGAATGCAACTGGAAATTGTATGACTGCAAACTTTCAGAATTAAGTAGTCTACCTCAATCAACTGGTTGAATTATGCTCAATGCTTGTTTAGACTAGACGCTGCTAATGTATACGTTAATCGATGTTAATACTGAAAGTTGAGATAGAAAGTTTGGCCTTAATTGGCAGCTGTTGTACTATAGTCCGAGCTTCAACATTTCCACCATTTTCGTATTCCTAACTACGATCGATCTGTCCATGATGCTCTTTGGAAGATAGTAGTTTAAACAGTCCAGTATTTGTTCTAAATGGTTATTTAATAATGTTACCGTATTATCATCAAATCTTTTGATACTTTAATGTACTTAAAGCAAATAAATAATGAAATTAAATGTATCATTGGCTTCATGTTTGAATCAAGATCACAAACGTAACCGTTAGTTACTCTAGACTTTTGAATGTTCACTTACTTTAGAATCATTTCTATCCGATACGATTCAATTAGGTTCGATATCAGCTGAAATTTGATCAGATTTATTTATCTAAACCAACTTTTTGGGAGAAAGATGGCTCACCAACACCTATGATGTCAAACCAAGCGCGTTTAAGGAACTTAACGTAAGACAAATCTACTGTTAATGTCAGTGATAATCAAGGAGAACAATGCTAAATGTGCGACTCTACTAGTGTAATGATGTAACTTGCATTGATAAACAGCGTATGACATTCCATTCCTTGCTCTTAAAGTTATATCTTAATTACTGTACGAGTATAAACACTTTTAATCTGAAAAATTTTTCAATTTTATCGGTTACGGTCTTAAGGTTAAATCTTAATTCAAATATCAGAATTTCTACACAATAATAAGTACGTATTCGATTGAGTAACAGTTTGTATACTTGATGCCATTTTTCTTTTCAGGTACTCAGCACCTCTATACGTAGATATCACAAAAACTATAACCAAAGGAAATAATGAACCTGAAGTAAAGTGCCACCCAAAGACGTTTATTGGCAAAATCCCCATCATGTTACGATCAACTTATTGTTTATTACACAACATGGCTGATCATGCCTTAACTGAGTTAAATGAATGTCCTTTGGATGTCGGTGGTTATTTTATCATTAATGGTTCTGAAAAAGTACTCATAGCACAGGAGAAAATGGCTTCAAATACCGGTCTGCTTAAACTAAATTACAATTGACATGGTTTTAATTAATTTATATACTCTTATTTTATCCAATAATCGAAAGATTAATTTGTGAATAAATATACTTGTTTTTATATGTACAGTCTATGTATTTCAAAAGAAAGAATCAAAGTACGCGTATGTAGCGGAAATTAGGTCTGTAACTGAAAATTCTTCTCGTCCAACGAGTACATTGTGGGTCAGTATGTTAGCACGTGGTGGCGGCACATCGAAAAAAAGCGTAATCGGTCAAAAGATTGTCGCTGCGATCCCGTATGTAAATCAAGAAATACCGATCATGGTTGTCTTTCGTGCACTTGGATTTGTCGCCGATCGAGATATCCTAGAACATATCATTTATGATTTTGATGACCCAGAATTGATGGAAATGGTAAGTAGATAGTTCGATTTATAATGCAGTAATGGCATAAATTACTTTCCGGCACTATCATAAATATACTCAATAGAATTAATCACTCTTTCGTGAATAGGTCAAGCCTTCACTTGATGAAGCTTTCGTTATTCAGGAGCAAAATGTCGCATTAAATTATATTGGATCTCGAGGCTCTCGTTCTGGTGTAACTAAAGAAAAGCGTATCAAATATGCACGAGAAATATTACAAAAAGAAATGTTGCCACATGTTGGTATCAGTGATTATTGTGAAACAAAGAAAGCATATTTTCTAGGGTAATGCAAGGCTATTTTAAATACTTTGTGTATGTTAAGATGATAAATTATAATTATTTAAATTTGTACCATTTCAGGTACATGGTCCATCGTTTATTACTGACAGCTCTAGGGAGACGTGAAGTGGATGATCGAGATCATTACGGTAACAAGAGGTTGGATTTGGCTGGCCCGCTGTTAGCTTTCTTATTCCGAGGGTAAAAGCCTGTATATGATATTGTTTCAACTATTTATATCGACTACTCTGTTAATTGAGTTCATGACTGCCAGAAAGTGAGATAACATACCACTTACCTTACTATTTACAGATTATTCCGTAATCTACTCAAAGAAGTCAAGATGTATGCACAAAAGTTTGTTGATAATGGGCGAGACTTCAACTTGGAACTTGCTATCAAAACAAAGATTATTACCGATGGTTTACGATACTCACTCGCTACTGGAAACTGGGGTGATCAAAAGAAAGCTCATCAGTCAAGAGCCGGTGTTTCACAAGTAATTAGTGATACATGGCTTTACATCTTACGTATTTTCGCTATCAATTTGAACCGATATGGAAAACTAATATTTGTTTACAATTGTTAGGTATTGAACCGTTTAACCTTTGTCTCAACGCTATCTCACTTACGACGTTTAAACTCCCCAATTGGCCGTGATGGTAAATTAGCTCGCCCTCGACAATTGCACAATACTCACTGGGGGATGATCTGTCCAGCTGAAACACCAGAGGTTAGAACCTACTCAACGTGTAATGAACCCATTTAAGCAATAATTATTAACTGATTTATCTACGAAAATTTGTAGGGTCAAGCAGTTGGACTTGTTAAAAATTTAGCCTTAATGGCATATATTTCCGTTGGTTCTCAGCCTAGCCCCATCTTAGAATTTTTAGAAGAATGGTCTATGGAAAATCTGGAAGAAGTATCTCATTCAGCTCTAGCTTCGTAAGTTAGAATCCGTTTTAATTTTTGTTTCTATTTCTTTATCAATACGTAAATTTTAATTGGTATCAACAAATCTGCCATCTAGAGCCACGAAGATCTTTGTGAATGGATGTTGGGTCGGTATTCACCGGGATCCAGAACAGCTAATGTCAACTTTAAGAAAATTACGTCGTCAAATGGATGTAATTGTTTCGGAGGTACTATAATTTTACCAATTCGTTACTACTGGTAAGCAAATTGTTATCTAGTTCTGGTTATTAAATGCTATATTGTATCTTTGATGATATAGGTATCTATGGTTCGAGATATTAGAGATAGAGAAATCCGTATTTATACAGATGCTGGACGAATCTGTCGCCCACTACTGATTGTGGAAAATCAAAAATTAGTTTTAAAGAAAAATCATATAGAGTCCATGAAAACAGCCGATGATTACGAAGTGTTTGGGTATAGAATGGAGATAAATATTAATCAAAGTAATTTGTAGTATTTTAAAAATATCAATAAATATTTTTTCCTATGTATTAATAGATGGCAAGATTTAATTGCAAACGGTATTGTTGAATATGTCGATACCCTGGAAGAAGAAACGGTTATGATAGCCATGACACCGGACTACTTAACAGCTGGAGTTAATTACTGCCGTACTTATACGCACTGTGAAATTCATCCATCTATGATATTAGGTGTCTGTGCCTCGATTATTCCTTTTCCAGATCATAACCAGGTTTGATTGTCATATAATATCAATATAGGACGATTTGCCGTGTCCAAGTTATTAAGTGGTATTGTATTAATGTATGATATATATGTCTATATTACTTCTTTAAATAATTAATTGTTAGTCACCGCGAAATACGTACCAATCAGCTATGGGTAAGCAAGCTATGGGGGTATACACAACAAATTTTCATGTCCGCATGGATACATTGGCTCACGTATTGTATTATCCGCAAAAGCCACTTGTTACAACTCGTTCTATGGAATACTTAAGGTTTCGGGAGTTACCAGCAGGTATTAATACAATTGTCGCCATCGCTTCTTATACTGGATACAATCAAGAGGATTCCATTATCATGAATAGGGGAGCTATTGATCGTGGTCTATTTCGGTAAATTAATTTAGCCGACTTAAACCTCGCTATTACTTCAAGCTTTAACACTCAATGTCAACATATTCAATATAGATCTGTATTTTATCGATCATATCGTGACCAAGAATCCAGTGGTGATTTTAATTCTGAAGAAATATTTGAAAAACCTTCTAAAGAAACCTGTTCAGGTATATAAATTTTGTGTAGTAGTGATATTAAAAGTTATTGTCTATTTAGATTACCTACATAACTTCAACAGGAATGCATAATGCAATGTATGATAAATTGGATGACGATGGACTGGTTGCTCCTGGAACTCGTGTTAGTGGTGGCGACATTGTTATTGGAAAAACTGCTTTATTACCTGAAGATGCAGATGCGGTAACGATACTGTTCTTAGCCTCTAAGTCTATACCATTACAAATCTTTAATTAATTACCCTTTCTAATGTATAGCTAGGAGATACTAATAAACGGTTCGTAAAGAGGGATGCTAGTACAGGGTTGCGTTCGAGTGAAAGTGGAATCGTTGATCAAGTAAGTTACCAATGGATGAAAAAATACCGTTAACTATAATACGATATTTAATAGTTACTTTCTAATAATTGGAAACAATGCACCATTATAGGTTTTATTAACTGTTAGCCAAGAAGGGTATAAATTCACCAAAGTTCGAGTTCGATCTGTTAGAATACCACAGATAGGTGACAAATTCGCTAGCCGTCATGGACAAAAAGGAACGTGTGGTATTACTTATCGTCAAGAGGTAATTTAACTAACATTTCATCACTTATTTATGATGTATAGCATGATATACAGCAGTTATATTATTTATGTTATCATTATTCAGGATATGCCATTCACATGTGAAGGAATTACGCCAGACATTATTATTAATCCTCATGCTATTCCAAGTCGTATGACAATCGGTCATTTGATCGAATGTCTACAAGGAAAGGTACATCTCTTTCTATGAAGTGCTTTTTTTTTATTGCATGCTTAATAAACTTATATGATACTGCTTAGGTTTCAGCAAATAAGGGTGAAATTGGTGATGCTACCCCTTTTAACGACACCCTAACCGTACAGAAAATTTCTAGTTTGTTGTCTGATTATGGCTACCATTTAAGGGGCAACGAGGTACGCTAATAAGATGACCGGAGATCAAAATTTGAATGATACAAGATAACAATATTTATACGTATACTATTTTCTAGGTGTTGTATAATGGTTTTACTGGTCGTAAATTAAACACCCAAGTATTTTTGGGTCCAACGTATTACCAACGTCTTAAGCACATGGTAGACGACAAAATACACGCTCGAGCTCGAGGTCCCTTACAGAATCTTACACGGCAGCCTATGCAAGGCCGTGCTCGGTAATTTGTGGTATATTTTACTACGTAACGTATAGGCCCCTACCGTGATTGTTCTCATGCATCTAATTTGCTTTCAATGTAGTGATGGCGGTTTACGATTTGGAGAGATGGAAAGAGATTGCCAAATTTCACATGGTGCTGCACAATTTTTACGTGAACGTTTATATGACGCGTCAGATCCATACATCGTACACATGTGCAATCTATGCGGTTTGGTTGCTGTGGCAAATTTAAGAAATGATACTTACGAATGTAAAGGCTGCAGGAATAAAACTAGGGTACGTTCGTAGAAACTTTCGCTTGCTGTGAATTGTATTTAATAACTAACAAGAGGGTGTATGTTCTTTTCTTGGTCTAGATTTCTCAAGTTCGTATTCCTTATGCGTGTAAATTGTTGTTTCAAGAGTTAATGTCCATGAGCCTTGCGCCAAGAATAATGGTAGAAAATTCAGCTTGTTAGGATCATTTGATATCATTTTATTTACGAAATGATACAGCCAGCAACTCACTATGATACAATATTTGATAGCTGAAGTTACGTTAAAAAAAAAGTGATACTTTAATACACTGTACCGAAAATGATTGAATGTACTTTCCTGTTTTATTATGTGTATATATACTACACACTTTTGTAATATTTCGTATTTGTAATGGTAGTTCGAATCATCTGACTCTATCTGCCGTATTGTTGTTCCTTTTCTTTCTTTGTAATGGAATCTTTGAAGTTTATTGTTCATGTATATTAGGATAAAAAATAGGTTCTGTTCACAGCTGGACACTGTACTTATCGATAATGAAGGAAGTCTTCAAAAGAACAGTGCATCTATGTAAACTTTTAGATACGTTATTTATTAAAAAGAATATAATAAATTTGTTTATATATTAGTTACTAGCCATTCGATACCTGTATATTTTGTCAATGGTTTCCACCACATTTTATGAAGTACAGTACAGTACGCATTTTGGTTTCGTGCAGTAAATGTTAACTACCAATGAACAACAGCTGTTTTATGATCGCATATCATGTACTAATGTTACATGTAAAGCGTCATTCGGATTAAATTTAGTTATAATGCCTTGCAATGCACGGTTCTATCAAATATTCCTGATAAAAGTTACGATCGGTGGAATGAATTCCACAATTGAATATTTCATTACATTAGCATTGCCAAAAATACGAGTATGAAATAATTTTTAAATTACTGAATAAATGACTAACTGCAATTTCGTGAACGTTTTCATATTAACATGCTGGTATTTCATCAATTTCGTATTAATTATATATTATAATTACATTCTGTCGTTTTCTTAGAGTAGATGTAGGAGCGATATTAGTAGTGGTAAACTTATTACAACCAACCAAGGAAAAACTTGCTATCGTAGAAATCATGCTGTGGTTCATAAACCAACAATCAAATTTTAAAGCTTTTCAGTGTCTCATGATAACATGCGATCATACTGCAAAATTTTAATACGCAAGTATCGCACACTCACAGATAGATTCATAACAGAAAAATGATAAAGTTCGAGCGTCGCTATCCTTTCACAAAACGCCCATAAATAAAGATAGAATACATCTTTTTTATTATATTGAATACTAAATACGATCGCTGCGTAATGAGTACGTAGTCGCGGCAATAGTAACATCCATATTTACTTAACACAAGTTCATTATTTCATCCAACTTTTGGAATAACAAATTAAAATTTCTGCTAATCCATGTTAGAATAACACAGTTCTTATATAGTAACCAAATATTAGAATAATAAACAATTTGATGGTCCTAACCCAAATCAATTTGACGTAACTGCACAATTATACATGGCAATAATACTACAAATACGTGTAAGTGGTTTTGCATAAATCTATACAAGCTAGTTATTTCCGATGTGAATATTGAATCAATCTTTCTAACGGTTCATCTACAGTTTGTACTAGATGTGTCAACTCATTACATTCGTAATATTTCATAGGTTCTAAAATTGTAATTATAAATCTAATATTTTATATATATATATATATACTCGTATTTTTAAGGTTACACGCAGGATTCATCCGATTCTTCATAATTATACTGTACTGTAGAAGGACAAAATCGATGTTTACATAACTTTTATCCTTACTATCAAAATAATAAAAAATGGATCATATAGTTTCTAATGTCTTCCTTCTATAACCGATTACGATGGAATTATTGGCTATCACCGTTTATAGAATACAATATAACAAATATTGTTAGCAATCATACATTGACTAATAACGGGCAATAAGAGTATTCCGATAGACTGTAACACTACGTATGTTAAAATATTTATTTGCAGCTACATCTTTCAAGTATCATTTTGCATATATTTAATTGGTATAATTAATATTACTAACTATTATTGCAATAACGGAAGCACTATCATTGTTGAATACGGTATAAAATTGGCCTAAATTTTTATTTTAGCACGCATGATGTAGTAATAACAATATCGCTAGGATATGCGCCAATAGAAATAGTTACATAATTTTCAATTTAGTTTAGCTCTAACCACTTCAGAGTTTATGTCTATAATTTCAGCTAATTTTCTACTTTTTTTAAATAATAAGGATAACATCAACTTTATCGAATTGCCATTAGTATTACAATACTATTAAACTCATACACGAATTTTTAAATGCCATAGTTATAACTAAATGGTAACTGTTCCAATTGAATTCGTCCAATATGGTTTACCATTTCATTAATGATTAAAGTCTATCTATGAATACAAGTTGTTAGGATCAGCAAGAGTTAACAGTTTTCCCAGTACTCTTTTAAAAAAAATGTTATGGCCACACAAATGAAGTTTAGTTACGACTGCCAACGATAGAAATTCATCTTCTTGGTTGATACTTTTAAATACACAGTTTTCCTCTTTTATATTTTCAGCAAAAAATGAGATTTTAATCCATTCAACAAATTTCTTCTAGGTTAAAATCAATCAATCGGTATCTTGCAAGGGAGCCAATAATTAATGAAATTGTCTCTTCTCAAAACGTCAATTAAAAAAATTGTCCATTTTAAAAATTAGCTTATAATTCTATTCGTATTTTTTTCTTTTCATCAACGTATGATAGCTCTCATTACCCGTAACTACTAATATATAATAGCAAATTGAATCTGATCTATCTAATTAGGCATTTTGTGTATCGATTCACAGAAAAGGATTTCAAATATGTTATTAGTCATGTTCTTACATTATTCTTACTATTATTGTAGGCCTGAATTTTCTATATCAGTAAAATGATGGTATCATTTCTGCCATAAACTTGGTCATCATAACTATCACAATTGCTGTTTTCTGTTGATATTTCCATCAATTCTTAAATCATGCAATATAAATGATAATATTTATATAGGAAGTATTTTCCTTCAAACTTGCTCTGCACCTTTAACTGAAGAATTAGTCATAAATGAAGACTAATCTTAGTTAGATAATTACATAATATGCTGAATTAATTAGATTTGTATGATGGATAATCGGTTTTTAGTATTGGCTGATTGTAGGTGTTAATTCATTCATGTTACTTGATGGCGTAATTACTGTACTTGATAGCTTTGCTGCATCGCTGGATAACTTGTTGCTGTAGCTGGCTGTGGTGCTGGTAGAATTGGAGCACCACGTGCAGCTGCAGGAGTTACCACACCTAATGATTGCTGAGTTGGAATCATTTGTGCTTGCTGTTGTGTACTCGGAGTAACTTGATTTGCATAAGCAGTTTGTTGCACCATGGGAATCATTACGGGATTACTAAAAGAGATAGATAGGATGTAAATTAGTATAACATTCATAAATTACTTATCATCGGTCCAGTAAATATCACAACAATATATTAATTCTTTTTACGCTTTCCAATTCCAGCTAATGTCGATTAGACCAGTTATATTGCGTTATAAGCTCTTCATATACTTGGAAAAGTAAATTTTATAGATTATGGCATCTTACCCAAATTGTTGATATTGAGTATACACTTGATATGGCGGTGCTGGTATCGGCTGCATAAATGGTTGTGGCTGCTGTTGGAAAACTTGCTGAGGTTGTTGTTGAAAATAATACTGCGGAAATTGTAATTGCTGTTGTGCCTAGATGACATACACGTTATTTTGAATATTTAATTATACCATAAGAGTATTAAGTGTCTAAATTATATTTAAAATCATCATGTTGAAATTAGTTTAATTAAATTCACCTGTTGAGCCAATATTGGATCATTTGCTTCCTTACCCCAGGAACACTAAAGAATCAAATGAGGATATGCATGTATTATTTAAGTCATAATAAGATAAAGTCGAACTAAATATACGCATGTAGGTTACTCTATCCTATTGGATAGAAATATTCTAGATAAATGTGTACATAATTTACCCTATTGTTTGAGCGATCAAATTTTAACTAATCTATTCTAATTATAATCGACTGTCGACGATCAGTAGGTTATATTGTTTTAATCGGCCATGTGCTTAATATCCTCATTTTAGTATAGAAGATACACTAAGATATGTTTTAAATTTGCCATCTCAATGACACACGAAGGAATACATGATATTTAACCTCGTAAATATATGCATCTGCGACAAAATTAGAAATTTCTTTCTTTACCTTAACTTGTGATCCCTCAACTGCAGTACCATGGATTACTACGATAGCATTGGTAGCATGATCATGCGACATATAACGAATAAAGGCGTAGTTTTTATCGGGAAAGACTCTAATGTCTGCAATAGGACCGAACGGAATAAAAATGCGCCGCAAAGTTTCTTCCGTAGTTCCAGCACTTAAGTTACCAACGTAGACGGTACAATTGTAAACAGCAGTTTGTAGATATATTTCGTCATAATTTAATGATTTTGTTGAACCTTGAATTTTGAAGCACGCCATATGGTAGAAAGTTGATTAATGAACGTTTTACAAGTATACTATACATATCCTGCTTCATTTATTGATATTTTAACTAAGTCATTAGCCGTACGCGTATATGAAAGCGACAATACTGTATTAGACCATCATTAACTAAGAAATTAGACTACCAAAATAACGATAGTACATTATTCATCAAAAATATGGAACTAGTAATGGATTTTATGGATTTAGTAATTCGTTATTTATTCTTTACTTAGGATAATTCTATACAACGTGATCAGACTCTAAAGTTAGAAAGCCAATTCTTGGTGATCCATTTTTTAACTTTAAATTTCAAATTTAAATTATTCGTATTCGTATTGAATCTTACTTGAGTCGCTATTTTGCCGATTAGTTGTTGCTCCAGGCTTGCGAGTAGCCCAGTTAGTACGGATATTTCTACCACCAAGCCAAGCGCCTACGTTCAATTTAAAATCAAGTATATTTGTGTTATGAGTATTATTAAATTGCTGGAAAAACATGATATAACTATTTAGATTTTATCTCACCGTTCATTGATTGCATTGCATTTTCCGCTTCCTATAAGAAAAATTAATATAAGTAATTTATAACTACTGTGTATCACATTATCTGCTTAGTTGCTACCTTTATTTTAAAGTATCTTGAATCAAACATGCAACGATTATTACATATAAAATTATAGCAATATTTGATTGATAATCACTATGGTTTGAGTAAATAAAATCATTTTCGCTAGCACTTTCTGCAATACTGGCGCAATTGTACTTCAGTGATGATAAATTCGATCATTATACTACTGTACTCAATTCAGAGAAGACAAACTAGAGTCGCACTTACATTCTTTTAAAGTTAAAAATTTTTTTATCCGTTATACTTACATGTTTGAACTGATATGATACAAATCCATATCCTCTTGGCTTTCCAGTGGCGGAATCTTTCACTACCCTAGCATCACTAGATCAAAAATGATTGAATTATATCTTATGTCGTTATGGATCAAGAAAAATTAGATAATAGTACTTACGATACATGACCAAATTGATTAAAAGCACTTCGAAGTAACGTTGTATCAATATCAGGACTCAAATCTCCAACAAAGATGTGGTAATGATCTAATAATATAATGTATCACATGTAAGTAATTATTCGCTTTAGATAGAGTCTATTTCATAAGATACTACTGAGTATGAAATTTTAATGACATAAGAAGGTTAACATTTAAGAAATATTCTGGATGATATAGCGTCAATTTATCATGATATAGAAGCTAATTTTGAAGCGGCATTGAGTGCAGTTAAAATAATAATTACATGACTACCATACGGCATTTATAAGTCATAAAATTTTTTAGGTTTGGAAGTGAAAATAAAATTTCATCTGCATCTGTTAGCGGATATCTCACTACCTATACTTGATTGACTAGCATGATAAATGTATAATATCAATGCGGTAAATGCATGTAAATATAGAAATCTATTTGAGATAGATTAATCAATTCGGGAGTGAAATTACACTAATAACCACCAATAAGTGCTCTTTAGTCAGTCCATCTGATAGATAACCTTAATATTACAGCCTATCTAACACGAGACTTCAAAATCATCCTCTTATATGCCGATATGTCAAGAGCAAATTAAAAAAAATTAAGGGTACTATTACAATAACGCTTTGTTCTAATTATGAAATAAAATGCATGCCTTCATAAGTCATGCATGAGCTGATTTTCGCTGCAAAATTTATCCGATTAAGAAACTGAATTCGTGAAAAATATTTCTATATGAAATGGCAAATTCGTTATCAAGACACATTAATATAGTATATGTACATTAGCACTGTAACCTTAATAAAAGATGCAAATGCAATATTAATAATAGGTTTTCCTCGTACTGCATCAGGCATACAGTCAATCTGATACTCGTCAGTATATTAGAAATAGTATAGAACGGTATAAAGAAGCCTATTCTATTTTTTGTGCATACGCTAAAACATAATATATCTTATAGAATCGACTATCATCGTTACATTGAATAAGATAATTAGGCATAAAAGAAAGATAGCGTATTTATTGACCATACTGTGCATCCTAGTTCTTGTTTGGATAGTATAATATCAGAAAAACTACGATTAATTCAATATACTGTAGTATGGATATTGGGTGTGTATCTAAATGTATATTTTACTACATCTATCCAACATTTTATAACATTATAGCAGGTATATTCTTTAATAATATTTGGTTTAATTTCGCAATTTAGGAAGAATAAACGCAATAAACAATGAAATTACGTTTATGTTAACATCATCTTAAATTTTAGAATTCATGGTAGCGGTTATAACTGACAACAGTGCAAACTGTCAATATATTCTTCGAGTTATTAATTAATAAAATTAGACTCGGTATACCCTGTTTACCTTTAGGGTTGATTGGTTATTATTTATGCGATGTTTAGGAATATATACCGATTATAGCTAATACTTGAAATGTTAGCTACCTTTATAGTATGTATTTGCAAGGAATTTACATGTATTAGCAACAGACTGAAGTTTTACTACACAGCTTCATTTTGTTTCTTAGCCTATTTGAAACTAATAATTATAATTACTGTATAATTCATTTGCACCTAAAATCTAATTTTAAATAATAACTATTAGCTATGCTTACAGTATCAAACTACAATATATTAAGTATGAATTACAGTATATATACGCAAGGAAATATATACGGGAAAAGAAAATTCTATAATTCAGCCCCACCACCAAAGTACACGTTGTCTATCACAGAGTCGGTTTGTGAATACTATACTAAAAGCATTCGTCCATTTTCAAGTATAAATTGAATCACAGTAACAGATAGCTAGTTTACGATTGAACGTTTTATCTCATAGTAATAATAAAAAGATATTTCTTCAAACGAATATAGACATCGGAATTACAACTTAGGCAATCTATGATATAGTTCAAAACTTTAATAGAACATGAAAGTTAAGCTTACTTGTGTCTTTTCTCATGCTAGAATTGGTAGCCCAGTTAACCTTGATTGCCTATAATGAAATCAATATTATGCAAATCCAGTTGTTAGAAACGATTATGAAATGATCGGAAAGAATATCAACAAAGTATCGTAAGATCTATGTCAATAGTATAAAAAAATGGGAGTTCCTAATTTAATTGAAACAAATTTTTACTTTTTTAAAATTGATTAGAAAGAAGGAAGTATTCTCATCAATACACGCTAAGGTTTTAAGATGGCAAATTCCATAGGATTAAAAGATCACAACTCAATAAAAAAAGAACTACTACTTCAGCTACAAACTATCATTAAATTGCAAAGGTAGACCAAACTGCAATCTCTCATTAATTATTTCTTGCATGAAGTTACATTGTAGTGTGTTATAATTCTAGAACGGATTAAAAATGTCAACTCCCTTGTAGGGGTTTGTCATCGATTCATTGAGAAGTAATCAAAAATAAATTGTGCTATTACATGCATATGAATAGTAATTTTGGAGGTGTTATTGTACTCAATTTCTCCACATTCTTAAGGAAAAATTAATGTGTATTAGGAAAGGTACTAAAGAACGTTTTAAATCAGTAGTAATGAATGAAAAGCGGCAATCCGGATGAGTAAATTAAAAAATTACTAAAACTATTTCCATCCTAAATTTGACCAATTATCGATTGGATTGTTATTGAGGCAAAATGTATTCACTACATTTAACTTTATGTGATATCTGAATTAATTAACGAATTTTACTGATATGATCGATGCCATTATAACCGAATTAAACGAATCGATAATAAAGATATTAATTATGTATAATTAAGGTGAGATATCGTGATTATTTTAAAAAAGAGGGGATATACTGACTTTCATTCAAGTATTGGAATAACTTCATCTTAGCGGATAGATATAGTTAGCATACCGTATACTTTTTGCATGTGCATTTCTATTAATGGTTGATGGTGCAAGATGTTAGTTATAACACAATAGTATTCCTTAATTATAGTCAAGTAAATTGAATTACTAAATTTTGGCAAGGTACTGTAAAGTACAGTATTACTATATACTAAATTTTACCAATAAGTTCATGAATCTTTCTTTTAACTCTAGATAATGTCATATCATTTTTTTAAATTACAAAAGATACAATAAGTATAATCTAAAATCAGCCGTAAGCAATAATTAGTCTGTTAAGTAGCTGTAAATGGAAAATGATTCAATGCCGTCAGAAGTAAACGAGTAGAAGCGTGAAATAATCTGTAAGAAATATTTTGACATTACCGTAGGTGATGAGATGTAGTTTATAAAATCAAGTTAGCAACAGAAATCCCTATTTAAGAACTAAATTAATTTATCCCAACCTATGGGTACTAATGTATTATTGGTAATTGTTTTCTTAGATATGATATCGTGAGTATACCCGTATTATTAACAATTGCGATTACAGTAAAAATGGAAGAAAGAGTATATCAAGTGGAACAGAGAGCCAGTACGCAATAAAGACAAATGAGGGGAAGGGAACACATTAAGCATAAAAGATTGCGGAAGACAGACGTCGTAAAGAGTTACAAAGCAATCCGTAAAAGTAGGAGAAATAACAATAGATGGAAATGAGTATGGGAAGTTGAAATTGGATCAACAACATCGACAACGGACAATTTTTTTAAGCTATTATCTATCAACGATATACAAAAAAATGATCGTTGTTTCATCTTTTATAAATTTTTATAATATGGATGCCAATAGTTTAGTAGATTACCATCCATTACATTGGCATGTAATAAGTATAAAATAATATTCATATTTTTCATTTTAATATCTGCTGAACTAATTTCAATTAAGTAAAATCTATTCATTGTACCAAAAATATAAATCAATCTACTCTAATATTATCATAAAATCTCCATATCCTATTAATTTAATTAATTAGAATGTACATATGAAAAGTGTATTTGATGATTTTAGCTGCGTAGTAGAGATATGAAATGTAGAATATTCTGAATGTCATCTATCGTAAGCTCTACTATTACGTTAGTCTTTATAAAAAATCCTTTCGTTCGATTAAAATTGTATCGATTAGTGTATTAATAAGATCAAATTAAAAAGATTTGACATCCTGATATCATATCATCATCCGCGTTACATTCTTAGAGAGAAGATAACTAGAGTGCTTCCTATTTAAGTGTTGATTACCCATACTAAAATTATAATTTTACTATCTTTCATATCTCTTAAATAAAGCTAAATGAAACGCAAGAGACATTCCGTTTCCTTGCAAATAAGAACATCAATTTTTTCAACTGTCAGTCTAAATGAAGACTTTGCGAATATTATGAACTCATTTTTTACTCGCATTAGCTTTTCGTGGAGATTTTCTTGCGTCTTGGCGAGATCACTTTTTGGTAATTACTAAAAAAACACTTCCTCATACTGGTGCACATATAAATTTAAAATTGTTAGCTTGTGATGGATAATATTAATAAGAAAGTTCTATAGACTGTAGATGTTAACTATTAATCAACTCATCAAAAAACAGGATGAGAATAATTTTATCAATAGCGCACAATTAGCGGCTTTTGATTGATAATATTAGTAAAGCAAGGGCTGTAAATGTTAATTGTGAATCAGTTACTTAAAAATAGGATGAAATAATTTCGTTAGCGGCTTGTGATTGATAACATTTGTAAAGCAAGTTCTACAGTATAGGCTGTAAATGTTAGTTTTAAGCCAACCGCTTAAAAAATATAGTGAAATAATTTCATTAACGCAACGCAACGCAATCGGCAGCTACTATCTATTTTATTTATAGTAAAGTCGACATTCGTAATCCTCATTTAAGAGCGTGTATAACAAGTATCGTATACTTTTAGGGTACCCTATTGGATTATTACACAATAAACTTTTTTAAAGTATTAATCATATGCCAAAAAACAGTATTAAATTAGGTTGAAAATTATAGGTATCGCTACTTATTAATCGAACTTACCCTTGAGCCAAAGCTATAACCATTCATTGCATCTAATGCGCGTGCTGCAGAATTCTTTTCGGCATATTCAACAAATCCATACGGATCATTACCACCATGCTATTTTAAGACAGAAAAGTCCATAAAAATTATTGCTCTGTAAGCGATAGCGTTTAAACAAACTAAACATATCCAGGTGAGAATAACAAGGCAAGAAGATAAGAAAATTCATTAAAATTAAAAATTATTATTATCATATAATTGAGGACTTTCAAAAGTTTTAAAATATCCCAGCGACGATTTTAAAGCAAATAGCAAATAGCTATGATTTAAAACGCATAAATCTTCGGTGAGAATGACCTATATCACTTAAATTTGAGAAAGACAAACGTCCACATGTTTTGTTTCGGATGAGAGTATTTTAAAAATTACCAGCCACTTTACTACTATCTATTGATATTTTCCGTACCAGTAGCTCTAGCATTAATATACCAATTTAGGTACATGTACAGTATATGAAATCTTTAAGGCTACTTCGCATAATGAATTTTGCGGTATAAATTGGTGATTTTTTCTGACAAATATACTTGTATTTTAATCTAATTTTCTCTTGAATTCATGACTCACTACGGTATCTATCTATGGTTATCTCTATAGGTATATTATATATGATCAAGTTTATTAAGGATTAGTCCAACTGGTCTTCTATGATATTAAATCCTAGTTAAGCATAGTGACACGGCGATATTTTCTATCGATTTATGGATATTGACAGCTCTCAGCGAATAATGTCATAGTAAGATTACAAATCGATCCGTTCTAGTAGTGCAGCTATAACATTTTTTACTGACTACAAGGATTGAAATTAATTATAGTAAAGCTTCTTTATCGACGCATGTTCTCCTTAAGCTTTGACATAGGTAACATGCAAAGGAATATCTCGCAAAATAGAGCAAGATAGTATTGAGCGTTTAAAAAGAAACTGACTAAAAGGACAGAAATAAATTGTAGTAATGCTTCTTTATCGATACATCTCTTCCTTAAGCTTTGACATAGTTACTATGCCCAAAAATATCCCGCAAAATAGAGCAAGTAAGATAATATTGAGAGTTTAAAAATGAAAACGGTCTAATATTGCTTGATTTCAACGCAATATCGATTGTTTGTACAGGATTGATCACCAAAAGTCAAGTATAACTTGTTCTCCTCTAAAGTAGTGATCGAGAACAGATTACGATTTTTAGTCGCAAAAGACAGCACGGATTGATCTCATTCTATTTAGCACGGAAAATACTCAACGTTATCATTTTCTTATAGAAATATCGATCGTTCTATACACGTATATCATTTTTGCACATTCTTACTTGTATACTAAGATAATGAAATCCTTCCAAGTAAAGGATTGGTCAATAAATAGACTTTGTTAAAGCCCACAACAAGATCAATAGTAATAGTACGTGGGAAAGATAATCGAAAACATGATTGGTATTATAGTTCAACAACTATATCCATGCGTAAATAGTGATTGTTATCGTTGATTGAATACGATCCATAACCTATACAAATAATCTTATTCATTGGGTTATTGAAGGAAGATTCATCGAATAAAGATTATACCTTCGACCTCGTCCAATATTTAGTGAATACGAATCTGTTGCAATAACGGACTACAAACTATTTTATTCGATCTTAATCATTCGAAAAAGCAAAATAGAAAGAAAATGCGCTGGTTCCTTTACTAAAATGGCCGATCAGATCTATCTAGATGACGAGTATAGCCGCTTGTGTGATAATTAATTGATCATTTCAGAGCTATGCTATCGTCTCTAATTTTTAATCCATTTGAATATTTTGTTTACGGGTATTTCTACGACCATATCCGAATTTCTTATGATTAGTCTTTCTTTCATGACTTAATTATATATCTAAAGACGTAGTATGCGTTATTGATAGCGTTATTTTGTCGCTATGCCGTAACTATTGACGAGTTCCAATAAAAAGTGAGTGATTAGTGCATTGATCTTATTTGTTCTTATAAGAACGTCACCAATACTCATGAAAGTTGAATAACCAGTATAGTATCACAACTGCTGAGTAATTTCTACTGGTGTAGGAGCAATTACTGTTTCTACTGCAAAGGATTAGCATAAGATAGTTTTCTCTATCAAACCTAAATAGGAAGAAAAAAAGTAAACTATTCCTACCGTAAAGGACTAGCATAAGATAGCTTTCACTTGTTAAACCTAAATGTTCATAAGATGAGAAGAAGCAGATCATTTGTGCAGTAAAAGACTAGCAGGTGCGTAAGCGTCATGTAGTTATGATGGCTGATATATTAAGTTTACAAGCTATTATTAACTAAGAGCTAAACGAGGATGCCGATAGTGAACCACAAAAGTATTATTCTGATATAACCTAAAATGTTTAGCTTTAAATTCAATCTGAATAAAAACATTATAGTTCATATGAGTAAGAACAAAGTTGGTTCCTTACAGTATCGATATCGTCGTGGGAAAGTCAGTTAACCACGTAGGATCGATTTGGATGAAATTGGAAGAGAATAGCAGTATAGGAATTGGTCAGCGTAAGAAAACAGAATATTGATAAAATTTAATAAGAAAGATCGATATCATCACAGCCTTGTTGGTATAATGCTACAAAATGGACCAATGCGATTTACCCAGCTAAATCAATAATAATGTGTAGTAGCCATTGTAGGCTATCCACTACTGTGTAAGATGAGAAGAATACCCTGATCCAATTCGATCGTGAAGATTGGCAGTATGCCATCCTCCACAATATTGCCAAAGGATCATTTGCGTTAGAAGACAGACGATGGAGCTCGCTAGTAGATTATCGATTACGCTACATACCCTGGTAGATCGTCGTCTCGGCTGCAGAAAGGTGCTCAAGAAGGCTAAAGATTGCATCGTGTTAAGCATAGGCTGGAGTACCGTGGACGTTCTTAATTATATTAAGAAAGGATCTAATAACCTAGTCATAATAAACCGTTTTAAGAAAGGAGCTCACTAACGCTAGAAATTGGATCATGCTAAGCATTTGTTTTAGCACTTTAGTTATTATCAATCATTTTAAGGAAGGAGGTTAATAACGTTAGAAATGGATCCGTTAAGCATTTATCGACAATACAATTTACTGTAGTAATTAGTGCTAGAAATTGGATAGCGTTGAGCTCTAGTATTCGATCCTTTAAGTATGGGCTGTAGAATGGTCACTATACGTGCACACAATTTTTACGAAAAGAGAGCTAAATAAACGCTGAAATTTAGTCCATTAAATATGGGTTATAACAGTCATTCATAAATCATTTTACTTTTCATTTTTTGAGTTGATTTATTCATGATGAAACAAGACATTCGCTGTATCTGAGTTTTAGACCTCCATCATACTCAATTAACGATCCATTAATTTGGATGCTTTTTCAGAATAAGGATGATGATTAATTAAATTTATTCTGGTTTATAAAATCAAGTGATAACGTAAAATCGCTGAGATTAGGCAGGTTGGATAGAAGTCGTAGAAATGGTTCATGTACTCACAGTATTGCTTAGGTTCTATTTGGAAAATATTGAAAAAGCTTTCGGCGCCTCGAGTCAATAAAATAAATCTATTATGACTGCAATGGAAGTTAATCCAATCCATCGTGATTGCAATAAATGTATTATTAGACTAGCAGCAGATGGCTGTTGAAGAGGTTAGGATATCATGGCGATTGAGAATCCTTGATCGAATCTCTATACAAGTTGACTTAGAAATCACTTGTAATCCTTGATGGACAGTTGTAAAAATCCATTTCTTGTACTATAATAAGGGATAAAACAAGTATTCTTCTCTCTTGTCATATGCCAAGTAGAATATCATCATTCTAATTTATCCATTATCAACAAGGCTTGAAGTTCTTGGCAACGAAATCGATGTACTTTCATTTTGGGCATAATGCTACCTTCCACTTTTTTTGACATTTTCACCCATTTTATTTTTACAACACAAAATTAGAGCCTCGAAAGCAATATCCAAACGTATAATTTCGACAATTGTCTAAGGCTTAAGGTAACTTCATTTAGGGCAGAGCGCAATTCAAGGTCAGTCACTACGATAAATTTTTGGTGATTGTGTGTTCTCCTGATTAATCCTATGCAGAATGTTAGGCTAGAAGCCATATAAAAAATGAAACTAAAACATGGATTGTAATTTAGGTTAGGAAATTTTCATTGGTCTACGACGTAGTTTGGACTAACCAAAGTAACTAGTGAACCTTACTAATATGAGATCCAAAGGACCTTGATCAAAGTGGATTGAAAAGCAACAACGCCATGAGAGAAAGCAAAATCAGGCATTTCTATCCCATGCCTATAAGGGCTTTGCTTATTTTTACTCTAAGGATTAGCGAATTGAGCTCAAGTTATACCCATGGTTATGACCCATGTTTAGGGTGGATAACCATTTAATTTTATCTGCATAACGTATAATTGAGGGAGAGAATCACTTTCTAAGTAGGCTTAACTCGAGTTGTAAAATGACGATCTAAGTGGATTCAGATTCAATCAGTAGTCCATCTAAACAAATAATCCTCTAGTACTACCTCTGTTCTCCATGAATCAATACCATACTGACGAATCAAATTCCATCTTACCGATTAAAATGAGAGAAGAGGAGTAACTTGGTTACTCTATGAATGATCAATCTTCTCATTCGGGAGCTTTTGCTCATTTTTAAGAGAAAGGATTATCGAATGAGGCTCAGGTTCAATTTATTGTCTAGTTAAGCTAACGTTATTCATGTTCTATCGATGCTTATGATGAATTAATGCGAATTCAAATGGAAAAGGCAGTTGCTTGGCTATTGCATATACGATAAATCCTACGATTGGGGACTTATTTGGGAGAATTTATTAGCGAAAATGATAACTCGACAAGACTCGAGCTCTATGATCACGTTGTAATCCATATTGAGGAATAAATACTGATTGATCAAATTTCTATTTTGCTAATTAAAATAACAGCGAGAGGAGTTACTTGATCATTCGACGCACGATAAACATAGTATTGGCAACTTTTCTGATTCTACGAGCGTACATAATTTGTTTATGGAAATAATTGTCCAATCTGTCTCAAACTCAATTATTGATCGTGTTGTAATCCATATTGAGGAGGAATAAATACTGATTAATCAAATTCTATTTTATAGATTAAGTAACTGAGAGAGAGGAGTAACTTGATCAGTCTACGCATGATAAATGCTAATATTAGCCATTTTTATAATTTGTTTATCGAATTGATTTTCCGATATAACTCACATTCAATTAATGATTGTGTTGTAACCATGTTAAAGAGGAATAAATACTGATTAATCAGATTCTATCTGATTAAAATGATAAGGATAAGAGTAATTTGATAATTCTACGCACGATAAATGCTAGTACATTATTGGAAAATTTTCGAATTTCTTTAGTGAACTGATTATCCGCAAGTTAAATCAATTATTTTGTAGCCAATGTTGAGGAAGAATAAATGTTGATTAATCAAGTTATATCTTACTGATTAAAATGACGAGAGAAGAGTAACTTAATCATTCTACGCGCGATAAATGCTAATAGCAGCCATTTTCTAATATGTTTAGTGAAATAATTGTCTAACTTGATTTAAGCTCAATCAATAGTCCAATTTAATTAAAAGCCATCATGTAGTACCAATATTCAGAAGGAATAAATACGGATTAATCAAATTCTGTCTTACTGATTAAAATGATCAAGAGAAGAGTAATTCGATCATTCTACGCATGATAAATGCTATAACTAGCAATTTTTTTCTAATTTGTTTAGTGAAATGATTGTCTAATAATATGACTTAAGTTAAATCATTGATTATGTTATCAAATGTTCAAGAGGAATAAATACTAATTAATCCAATTATAGCATTCAAACGATAGAGAAAAGGAGAGTAAATTAATCATTTTGCATACGATAAACGCTACGGTAATACTAAAAACTCTTCTAATTTGTTTAGCGAATAATGCCCACTTTGATTCAAGTTAAATCAACGATTATATTATATTCAATATTCGAGAGGAATAAATGCTGATTAATCAAATTATAGGATTCAAATGATAGAGAGGGAGAGTAATTCGCACATTCTCTACGTGATGAGTAATAAGAACTTTTCTAATTTGTTGAGTCCATCTTGACTCAAGTTTAATCCAATAGTCCATAGAGATGATCATCATGTTGTACAGAGTTTCGACCCATATTCAATCATTACTAATTCAAATAAAAATAAAAATTGGAGTAATTTGGACCATACTATAGAAATGATCAACTCTAATATTGAGAGTTTTGCTTATTTTTTTAGTCAACTCATTGTTCAATCGGATTGAAATTAAATAAATGATCATCAGGTTCTATCAAGCAGTCTAAAGCATAGCGGTCGGTAACAAGCTTAAAGTCAATAGTAATCGTGAATGCATGAAGAATAATGTATTACAATCTTGTTGTAGTGAAATGAAGATGATTAGCCAAAGTTAAACAAACTACTTGAATAATCTTGTCAAGATACGGTAATATGTTTCTATTATCCGGCCTATCCAGTTGAATGATGAACAAAGCAATATCAACATGATCGTTGAACATCCAATGTTGATCATTATCTAAAGGTTAAACAACAACAAAAAAAATGAAATGGATAGAATTTCATCTCGTTGCTTAATTTACTCCTTCAAAATCAAGTTCTCTATTACGCCGCCAATCGCGTCATGATGCCGATAGAAATTTATCCATTTCTTTAACAATACCTGGTAATGAAGAAAATTCCAATTTCCAATCAAGGGAATCAAAAATGAAAATAAGAGCTTAAACTATCTTGACTGTCCAATGATGGTCAAATCTATTTCATACTACGATTATTCTCTTAATAATCATCTGGTATGCGTGAATACCATAGATCAAAGCTTCTTTTTCAACCAGAGTCTACAAGTACTCAATATTGCCCTTATTGGATCCATTTGCAGATTTAAATTTGTAGGCGATAGATCCCCCCCCCCCAAAAAAAATACAACTATCCAGTCTAAACAATGTACCACTTACGCTATTCAGCTCGAATAAAATGATCTACTACATTGGATAAATGATCATAAATACATGTACAACGAGTAGTAGCCGTTGTAGCAATTGTCGTCGATCAAAAATAAATTGCAAAATGTGTATTCAATCTTGTCAAAGCACAAGAAAATGACACGATGAGTTGAATAAAATGAGTTAACAAAAACATGAATAAAAACAAAACGCAATCTATTAAAAATAGATTGATAGAATAGAATATGTAGAAAATGAAAAAAGTTGACTAAAGCCTGATTGGATCATTCTTGTCCCACCACGTATTCTAATGTCTTGAAAAAATTCCATTTTGTTTTACTTACCTCAGTGATCAATTTGCAACGTTTAATTGCACCAAATTTTGCAAATAGTTCGCCAATAGATTGTTCTGTAGTTTGACGATCTAAATTACCGATATATCTATAATAGAATAGATCCATATTGAAAATAGATTAGTCCACCAATAAGTAATAGATAGGATTATCAACTATGCTATTTAATAATTATAATCAACGCTCGAGAAGATTTTTTATTTTATTTTTCCTTCCTTCCTCCCTTCCACAAACGCGTATTTTGTTGTAATCAACACTTTTAACATGCGATTTTACTCCAGTTATGATATAAAGAAGGTAAAGAAAAAAGGTGTACAAAGTACGATCGGTTTGAACCATCAATCGATGATTAATCGTTGCCAGATGAGTTAGACCACATATAGAAAGACAACAAAATTGGGAACTATCTGAAAAGACATCGAATTGATGTCCATTGGATGACTAATTTAGTATAAATTTCCAATATCAGCACGCATTGGTTTCCCGTTACCAAATCTCCATGTAGATTAATGATTAATATAGTCAAATGGGCAATCCAAAACAATTATAGAATCAAAATGGTGAGCAACAAAGAATACCGCCGTATATACAGTTACTTTCGTAGGAAAATGCACAGTAATTAGATGACAGGATATCGGCTAAACTGCTGTTGATCATATCTGTTGACTATCTTCACAGGCTCGAGGAGCGATTTCAAGTCTAGTTTTCGCCATAATGGGGGTAAAATCAAACTAATCACTCGATTGCACAAATCAACGGTAGAATCATTTAATTTCTTGAATTTCAATTCTCTACAGTACTGCTACTCCACTCCATCAATGATGATAGAGCCATCAAGGGTATAAAAATTGGCATTATTCTTAAAAGTAAACGCAACGATAATGTCGTTATTGAATTATGAATGCAATATGAATAGAAAAACGAGTTTGCTATTTACATCTTAGCAATTTTCTTCATCTTATCCTATACTATTTCACCTCTATTTTAATGTAAAAGCTACATGAAATGAGAACTGAAATAAGAATGACTATTATCATAAGAAGGTCTTAACGGTACACTGATAGTCATCATTCTAGGGTAAAAATAAAATTCAGTCTTGGATATTAAATTAGAAATACCATCAAAGTAGATTAAAAGTTAGCTATCCAATGACCCGTGTAGGATCGTTGAATGGCTTTTACGATATCTTTCTAGCTTGAACAAATAGAGTAATACTGTTCTACTTGAGAGTATGGGAGAAAAAATGAAGAGAGACGGATATAATAAATGATAATAGTATAGAAAGATGATCGATGAAAGCAATAACTACCCTCTAACTCATCTAGGGTAGTCTGCATTTTGGAGCATTACGTTCTTCTTCTAGGACTACCTTTACGTGAACAACCAAAAATAGTATCGCTAATAATAAAGCTATGACGATGGAAATCAAACCGTCAATTCTATGATGATGGCCAATTAAACGGTGAAGAGGCTATTAATCGTTTACAATTTGTACTATGGAAAAAAAACAACTTACAACACATAGGGTCCATTGTCGTTTTCACGATTGGAATTGATCATTGTTTACAGAAAATGGATCGTTTCCTACTATCTCAATCTTGCAAACCTATTAAGCGATCATAAACGACATTATCAAGAGTAAGCAATCATAGTTCGTTAACAACATGCAAGTAAGCTGTACTAAAGCAAACAACAATCACCAAAACAAGAAGTTTACATGATAATCTAAAGATGGTAATGATGAAAATGGTAGATTATTATTATTATACATGACAACAACGATAGCGTAGGGATTCCCTTTCGTTTTGAGAAAGTATCATCACGCTCATCATATCCACATGACGCATGGACTACTTGTTTTATGAAGCCCCCCCCCCCAAAAAAAAAATTAGAGGAAGAGGGTTTGTAAAAAATGAAGATTTGTAATTATGTTAAGAATTACTTATCATCAAAAATATTATCATCATACAAGAAATAGTATTAGAAGAAGATGAACAGCATAGTATCACCAACATTAGTGAATTCGATAGGCCTTGACTAGGATGATGAACTAGATTATTAAATGACTTGCTGATAGAAGCATCATGGCCAAGAGAAAATAAAAAATATAATTTGAGCGATCATGTTATCATGCAGAAATAAAATTTTCTAATCTATCGCATACTAGATAACAATGTTTATCTATTAGTTAGAACAAACTACTCCTGTCGTAATGGATAGTGAATCTAGATGAAGCTGATCCAGTAGATTCAACGGCTTTGCCAAAAACTAGATCTTGATTACTTACTACTCAAAATTAATATAATAGTAATAGGGCCTGAACGACCATGTTATCATGCAGAAAATGGGATTTGCTAATTTATCGCATGCTAGATAATGATGTTTATCTACTAGTTAGGACAAATCACTCCTATCATTTCGGCTCCAACTAGACTCAATGGCTTTACCGAATACAAGCATCATGGTTGTTTACAGTAATATAGAAAAAACAATAATAATAAGATGGCCTGAACGATCATGTTATCATGCAGAAAATGAAATTTTTGTAATCAATCACATGCTAGATAACGATGTTTATCTACCAGTTGGAACAAATTACTCCTATCATCTCGTGTAGAAAGTTATTTTTAATGCTAACTGACTATGGGCAATGGACGCTAACGACTTTTGGATGATCATTTCGGTCATTTTTTTTCCTCATGCATTCACTTCTCCCTACAATCTCTAAATATCAATCGGATACCAAGCGTCATCGATCTCCTTACCTATTAAAAAATTTTTTCTTCTCTGTATATTAATTGAATAAGGAATGAAAGAATAGTCGAAGGCTAATTGCTGGTAGAATGAACAAGCCAAGTTGGATTTGATGTTGATGTTACTCGTTGTTGGTAATAATACAGTTGTAATTTGGGGATAGAAAATAAGCTTTCAAGACTGATGTTTAATCACTTGCACCAGCAAGATTGTAGAATGGATTTGTGGCAAATCGATACGTTGGAGTTGTAAAAATAGGACCAAACAACAACCACTGAATCTATTGAAGTAATAACAATAATGATGATAATATCATTTTCAACGGCAATACAAGGTTATTGATGAAGAGGTTTTCCTCTCAAATAATGATCGAATTGAAGAAGATGGAAGGAAGCGACTCGTATCGAACGATCGCTGATGACATCCAAGTACTCGTTAAACTGTTCAAAGTCATTGGCCTTGAATAACTTACGCTATTGCTCTCTCTATCTCTCATGAGCGAATACGACACATTCTTTCTCTCTCTCTCTCTCTCCTCGATGGTAACCACCAGCCCACTTACACTATCAATGATGACTGTGGTGGTGATCGATTCCAACTAGGCTATGAGCTATATTATCTGATGTGTAATGTAGACGAGTTAGGGCCCACCTTGTCAGGTTATTATTGATTAACTTGGCAGACAATTTCGTATTCAACTCAATCAAATAATTACAATTAACTGTGTATGTTGTTGTGTTGTTGTCTAATGGTTATTGTCCGTTATTGTATGGAGAAAGGAGAAAAATCTAGGCATGCTCCAATACAAGCTGTATTTACATAAATGGCGGGTGGACGCCATTTTGTCAACTTAGTTTATTTGTTCATTATTGATGAGAGATAATAGAGAGAAAAATAATCTACAGCCAACCATATTGATTACTCAACAAAACATACCAATACGTAGTAAAGGAACGAGTCCAATTCAATTGAAATCAACATCGAGCAGTGGCATGCATGACAAAGGCAAAAAGGAATATTAGCCCTAAATGGAGAGGATCCAGTCGGGCGACAACGTTCATTTCGCCTCCTTGTATAAATTAGCTCTATCCCCCTATCCATGACTAAGGTGATCTCCAAACAATTCAATACAACAACGTTTACTATTGTCATGATGATGGCAGTCCGTCATCATCATGATTGTTATTCATCACTTACGAGGAGAAAAATTAATCATTAAAGGAAGGCGATTGGGCTACACCATTCGATGGATGCTCTTCTTTCGTCATCAGCAAATTAAAAAAAAGTAGTAGATAATGCACAGCATCATATTGCAATCATGCAAATAATCCTATTTTACGCGTAGCTAAATCAATTGAATAATGCAATTGCCATGAATAGTATTACTCTAGCATGCAGGAGATGCCACGGAAATAGCGACAAGTTCTATATAGAATAGATTCGTAGCATCGCTATATTCAATTCGTTAAACACCGTCTTCTAAGCGGAAGCGGTCAATACTTTCTCTTTTCCTATCTTATCATGTAGAGTTTAATTAGAAAAATATGAGATCATTGATTGGCAAGATGGATGATAGCTTAGCCAATGGCATCATTCTATCTAAATTTTAGCCACGATCTAACTTTTAATCAACGAGACGGTAAACGATTTCGATAAAACAGCATGATAGTTACCCCTTTCCAAAGACAAGTAGACAAGACTACATACAACTCTTCCTACCCTACATACGAATACCATGAAACAAGCTGTGCAATCTACGGCTATAACCTCATCCATCATTATCACTCGTTTCAATAAAATCTATCATTAAGTTGCTTCGCATGAAATGATTAGCGAGAACTAGTAGACAAGGCTAAACAACTTTTTCAATAATATGTACGTGTACCATGAAACAGGTTATGCAATCCACGGCTACAACATCGTTAATCTTCGCCACGCACTTCAATTAAATGTGTCATTAAATTGCTTTACATAGTATGGTTAGCGGTAATTAGTAGACAAGGCTAAACAACTCTTTCAATCCTTCACACCAAGAAACAAGCTGTGCATTCCACGCCTATAACACCATCCATCATTGCTACTCGCTTCAATAAATAGATCATGAAATTGCTTTACATAGTACGATAATTAAATTGCGTCAAAAGGAGTGAGCAATCAACATCAACCGAAACAACATGAGGTCTTTCAATCAAATAGTCTGCAGTCCGCAGGAGGTATATTGAAATAGCTCAAGATTAATAGCATACAAAGTGTGTTCTAATGGCCTAGATCAATGTTGTATTAATTGGTACTTTATTCTCCTATAGTATTCTATATCGATGAGTGGAACTTTCATTACAGCTTTTGCTCTTTTT